TATATATCGATCCCAGTAATTCCCTGTAGGTCACCCGGGTCGATATACACCTGATGAACGCCGGGGGTCACAACGGCCGAAACGTTGTGATAACAACAGCAAGATGAGAACGATGGTCCGCGTGTAAATAGTGTGATCCAAATTGACTGATTGCGCAGATTGTACTACAGGTGACTGCAAAAGAGGTGCTGCGAGTCATTAATTGTTCAAGAAAGGTTCGAGATTTCTTTAACGCTAAACAATTTAAAGACACTTTTAGGATTTCTCTAACATTGTACAAACACTGAGAAATCCAGCGTCAAATGTTTTCTTGTTATTGTTTCTTTTTTGGACAGCTATTTGTATCAGAGTCACATTGATTTTCCTTATTATTCATTGAGATATTTTTGCTTCCATTAGGCATCGGAAAAATCACTGAGTCATAGCAAGTTTCGGTAAATCTTATAAACCCGAATCAATAACATTCGCCACGTTCTCGTGTTTTCAGCTTGCAATTTGATGTTGGGTTCTTCGTAAATTATGCATATTCTCTCCCTCTCCAGGGGGTTTATACTTTTCGATCAACAACCATTTTACTTTTCTGTATATTTTTCTTGGATTCTCAGATTTCTTCCCAGGAGAATTTGGTTTCGCTCGAGTTTACTTATTATTTGATTTCTCTGTTTATTCATAGTTAAAAATTTTCTCATTCTTAAGTGCCATGTCCTTTCAGGACATTGATGATAATATGTCTGCATAATTTCTCTTCCTTCCATACCCGGTTCACACTCCTCCACGTTATTTTGAACAGGAGTAGTTTCCTGTTTAGCATTAGCTTTCCGGTTCCTTCTAAAGTCTTTTTTAATTATATTTATTTTCTAGTATTCCGTTGAATCTTAGTGTTATTATCGCCTTGCTTGGGTTGAAGTGATTGAAAAAATACATATAAACTGTTCGTTGTCAACAGTATTCTTCGGAAATATAGTGGAGAATTTTCATGTTGTCGTCGACTTAATTCAGAGTTGTTCTTCTCACAATCTTAATACTTTGCTTAGCTTTTGAAAGGCATCTTTTGCTATCCCATGCACATTCGGATTTCAGTGTCACACTTTCCTTACTCTGTTAAGATACTTCCCATGTATTTATATTGTCGTACCTTTTTTGATTTTGGTGTCACCAATTTGTAGTTTGCATGTTTTTTTCAACCATAAATTCTGTCTTCTTGCAATTGATAAACACTTGGCACTTTATTTCCAATTAATTTTAACAATCGAAAAAGCATGCTTATATTTTCTTTCAAAAGCTTGTATTTGTTTTTCAAACCAAATTTGAATTTTCAATTTTTCAGTACATCATATCAGATAAAATAGCCTATTGTCAATAATTTGGCAATATATAAACTTTCTTGTTTTTATCTACTTCAGTCTGTACCGTGTTTTTTTATGGCGTTGGAGATCATAGCTCTCCACAACTTCATATTCATACTAGCTCTTAGTAACTTTTCTTTTTTTACCACCCCTCTCACAGTGTTCCGTCATTCATTCACCTAAGTTCGTCAGGTAGGGAGTCCACTACCTCCCACTGTTTATTTTTACCTTCAAAATGTCCCGAGCGTGCCAAATTTTATAAGCCTTCCTTTCTCATTATGTGTTCCAGAAATTTTAAATGTTTCTGATTTTGGGTCTTTTTTGCTTCCATTTTTCGTTAAGATTTTATCAATACTTACGCTCTCCGTCCATGGTATTCTCAGCTTCCCTCTGTAGACTCACATTTCTCTTGGCCGCAGTCTTATTACTGAGCTAAATAACGAATTTTTTTTGTGGCGGTTTTCAATCGGTAGGCAGCCTAAAAATTGTCTATTGTCTAATAAAGCCGGACGAAAAGGTCGATAAAACAAATTCCACTGTTCAGAAGTCATAATATTTACATAGACATCAATCTCGGTATGATGCCAAATCTTTTTGTCTTTATAGATATTCAATATCTTTGCTAGAAGAGCATTTCGATATTGTATTTCTGTACACAGCCGTTGTTAGACATTTAGAACTTTTCCCAACGGGTCTATTCTGTTTTTCTTCGACATTATTTTGTGGCTGAACTAGTTGTGACCATTTGTGAGTCCAGCTATAAATCAGCACTTCGAATGTCAACTTTCAAGGCATTCTCCTATCATTTCCCACAAGCACAACATTGCAATTCTGTCGCTATTTCCATGGCAAATGTTCAGATGAGCTTCATTCTTTATCCCTACCAGTTCAGACCTTTACAGCTTGGATACGCCGTGTTACTTACACGGAGCTGTATCATCCTCGTTTCCTCCATATGAGGAGAAAGCTTATTTCGGACGGTTTTTTTTTCAAGAACATTTACTATGTGGAACAGATTGTCGCGTGGATATTTCCCTAAACACTACAATCTTAATCTCTTTAGGTTATGGATCAATCGTTATCTATCCTACTTATCCTCATAATCCACACTTCTTATAACATTCATATCACACACATTCTTCATCATAAATATTTTAACAGTAATTATTTGCCTTGAGTGGCTCTCAAGATTTGTATTGTGGTCTTTTTAGTATAAAAATTGTTTGATATCAAATTAAACTAAGTTACGCACATACACACACACACATACAAACACACATATATATGTGTGTGTATGTATTTTTATTACTTTAAACTTTATCTTAAGTTACCCGTCTTTGAAACAGACGCCCCTTTTTAGTTTTAAACAGTGCACTCGAGACAACTTACTAAAGAAAATATGGTCTATTTTTCTCGTCAGAATCAATTTTACACCTTTATAAGTCAACCATTCGTCTATACATTGAATATTGCCGCCACATCTGGTCTGGTGTTTCTGCTATGTATTTAGAGATTCTTGATAAAATACAAAGAAAAATCTGCAATATTATCAGTCTTGACCTGGCATCCCAACTTCAATCACTTTCCAACTATCCTAACGTGATTTCCCTGTGGTTTTCCTGTAAATATCTTAATGGTAATTGTTCTGATGAGCTTCACTCTTTGGTACGTAGACTTTACGAATTTAGGCACTGTACTAGATAGGTAGCTACATCTTATCAGGTTACCGTCGAAATAGCTAGATGTAACCGTAAGTTCTATGCTAATAGTTTCTTCTCGCGCTCTTCCCTCTTGTGGGAAGCTCTTTCGGATCGCTGTTTTCCAGTCAATTTTGATCTTCAAAAATTTGTGTGCGCTGCCAATCGCCTTCTTCTGTCTTTTCTTTGCTTTCATGTTTACTTTACTTAATAATTCTTACCTTTTTCTTATATTCTGTTACACCCCATATCCCCTTTGCATCCTAGTGGCTTTATCGCCTTGGTCGGGGTAAAATCATTAAAGAAGACTTATAATTTAGCAAATAATGTTTAAGGGGTGGAATTTAATAAGTTTTATTTTAGTCCAGCCACTCAAACTTTCAATAAGATTTTAGTAAAAATTTAGATCAGGTCGATTACATTTTGACTTGAATGCGTTTAGTCAAGAAATTTGCAGGTGAAACGCGAGAAGTCAGTACTGCTTACCCCAACCTGTAGGCCTTAATCAATACCGTTCCGTATGCGAGGTGCTACTCAAGTGCATGGCAAACATAAGACGTGAAATGCTTTCCTCGCACAAAGAAAATATTCGTGGAGCATGTGTTTGTTTATTTCCTAATAAAGTGATTTCGAGAGATATGTGAAATTTCCGGTGAGACTAGAGGTAATTTGACAGATGAATAGCTTGCTCGATCTCTTTCAATTTTACAAAATTGGGAGCGTAATTCATATAATGTGTGCAGTGATTTTTGAAGTCAATTCTTTTGTCAAATTAGTTCTGTTTTATATATATATATATATATATATATATATATATATATATATATATATATATATAGCGGGAAATAGGCTATCAAATTAAGAAAATTGTTTAATCTCCGTCGCGACTTGTAGGGAAACGCGGTCGAGGAGTACATTTATTTTGGATTGGTTTTGTTGATTTTAAATTAATTGTAGATTATATTGAAAATTTTTTCGTTTTTCTTTCTTGAAGCACGATGTAGAAGTCCTAGGAGGAGGGAATCATGAAGTTTTCCCAAAGATAGCGAAAGAAACTGCGCATATGTGGTTGAATAAATCTATGTGTTTTTAAATTTTACAAATTCATAGCTTTAGCTATAGGACCCAAGCAGTTTATCAGATCAAATTATAGTAAAAAGTGCGTTCAATCCAGCAAGAAATAAACAATACTATACAAAGGAGAACTCTTCTTTGTTACAGGCTGTCCCCAAAAGTCACCTAGGTATTTAAAAATACCATAACATTATACTTTTTATTTTTATTTTTTCAGAACTTGTATTGATTCGTTTTTCACGGTTTATTAACCATTTGCATGTTATTTAAAAACAGAGAATATTTTTAGATTGTAAAAATGTTTTTGGAAATAATCATAGTTTACTGATACAAATTTTCACTATTTACATTATTCGGATTATCGTCCTCATCTTTGTAGCCATATTTACGTGGAATTAACAGGAGAATATTAATTAATGTCGCCATATTTACGTGGAATTAACAGGAGAAAATTAATTAATTCCCCTCTCCAAGTTCTCCACTGCTTTAACTGGGTATTGAACTCACACTCTTTGGGTCCTGTCACAGGAGATAACTGATAACTGACATCCATTAAATATGGCACGTGGAACTAGAACAGTTTATCCCAGTGAGCGAAATAAAAGGGTTCAGTTCAACATTCCAACCACCTAAAGAAGGCCGGAGCGTACAACGGCCGAAACGTTGAAATAAATATGGCGACAAATATGAGGAAAATAGTTCGAATAATGTAAATCGTGTACATAATATCTCATCTCAGAAATATAGACAGATACAAATTTTATTAATTAACCCATAGATGGGGGAGAAGAAGTGGATTCATACCTTTCGCAAGGGTATTTGCAACTTGCTCTCCGATCAAAACTACCGAGCTATTATCCATTACGCAGCCTGACCATCCAAGCTTACAGCACCTGATATTCCTTAAGGAGTCACCCATCTAAATACTGACCAGACTTGACGTTGCTTATCTTCGGTGATCGTACGGGAATCGATGTTTCATAGTGATGTGACCGTAAGCTTATTTCTTTTGTGCTATCGGCTTATGAAGTATTTCTTTCATCCAGCGGTGCAAAACAAACCTGAGATGTGGTTTCAACAAGATGGAGTCACTGTATGCAATGCGTGGGCAACGACTGGACTCTAAGGTAAATATTTGGTCACCGGATAATTTCGTGAAATTCTGAAACTTTATACCCATCACGTTCTCCCGATCTGACGTCTCCTGATGATTTTCTCTGGGGTGCAACTTAAGTTGCTGCCAGAAATTCAAGAGGTACAGCTAGTGTTATTAACCACTACTATGGATAATTCTATCGAAATGAAGGGTTGATGGATTTTGTTGTAAAGGAATGTCCCAGACTCTTTATCGTCTATGTGGACTGACTATATGAGTAGCTATATCTGGTGAGCACAGGATATACCTGCGGACTCGCTTCGGCAATTAGTTGGAGATTCATCTCCAGCTGAGCTGGTCGGACTCTCTGCCTTCGGGCGGAGAGGAACCCAGACGAGGCTATGCCGAAAGGGCAGAGTCTAGTCTGAGGAGGTAGACAGCTACCCGACCCCGTTTTTTACGAGGTCTACGGGGAATTTTTGCCCGAGCCTATGGACTCGGATACCCCAATTCGGCCTTGTGCCACATCTGACCGCGTGTGGCGGTTGGCAAATATCCTTGCTTCTGCAATTATTTGGAGATTCATCTCCAGCTGAGCTGGTTGAACTCTCTGACTTCCGGCAGAGAGGATCCCCAAACGAGGCTATGTCGAAGGGCAGAGTCTCTTCTCGGAAAACATCTACCCGAATCCGTTTTATACGGGGATTTTTTTGCCGAGCCTACAGGCTCGGATACCAGACCGCCTGGGGATTACTAGCTTGCCACCCAATTCCCTGTCATTAAGTAGTGTATTCTCTTTTACAATAAACCTGTCTTCTTCCATCTACGCCCTTGTTGCTTTTCCTTCACTCGAGTACCACCTTTGTTTGTTTGTAACCTTCTTTAAGGATACAACAGATTTGTTTTTTTTTTACGTCTTATCAACCTTTTTTGGTTTACTTAACCTTGCGTTAGTCACCTCTGATTTCCGAAAATATATAGTCCCCTCGCGTCTTTCTCTCGTGACAACTGAGCTACAACTCTGTCGAAGGAGAATAGTTGAAGTGAGCAATAAAAGCAACTAGAAATTACGACTACATTAAAAATCTGGGGCTAACAAAACACTCGTGTGACTAACGCAGGATGAAAGCCCAAACATATTTTTGATTGTCATTTTTTTTTTTGAGTGATAATTGCATTAACAGTTTCTTTAGAGATAACAATGATTTTTACCCGATACAAGTCATACTATTTAACCCATAGCGGGGATCGATAATGGTGGATATTAACGCCGCATAATTTTTCATAATTAAATGTGAATATATTTCAAGAGCTTGAATTTTCATTTTCATTTTCAAAACGTTGATTTTTTTTTTATATCCACAGGTGAATTGTGGGATACCCTGAATTGTGAGTGACTCGCATAACAAAAAGAAGAAGGGGAAATTATTTCAGAGTTAGTAAGGGTGGAGGGATATTTTCTTTTTTAATGTTTCGACATTTTCCTGTCTGGTATGCAGACAGCGAAGTTGATGATTAATATGTACATTAGAAACAATTAAGCGTGTAACTTACCTCGAGTCTGGGCGCTGTATAGCGGCTGTCACTGGAGCTAAAAGAGATGCCGTTCCGTCGGACGTGTATGTATGGGCGTACGTAGACATCCAGGTGTAACAAAGGTTTACCAGAAGAGAGCAGAGGGTCCACGCTCATATACATGGTGAGTAGAGATGTGTGTAGTAATGCAATGAAATCGCAGATCTGTTCAGTTCGGTTCAATCGACAGTTATGACTAAGCGAATTTTAGTTTGCTTTATTTAAGCGTTGTCTTATCTATCTATCTATCTATCTATCTATCTATCTCATTCAGTTCACTATCTATCTATCTATCTATCTATCTATCTATCTATCTATCTATCTATCTCATTCAGTTCACTATCTATCTATCTATCTATTTATCTATCTATCTATCTATCTATCTATCTATCTATCTATCTATCTCAGTCTGTTCACTCTCTATCTCGGTCCGTTCATTATCTATCTATCTATCTATCTATCTATCTATCTATCTATCTATCTATCTCACTGGGTTCACTATGCATGTATGTATCTCAGTTGGTTATCTATCTATCTATCTATCTATCTATCTATCTATCTATCTATCTATCTATCTACCTCAGTCTGTTCACTCTCTATCTCGGTCCGTTCATTATCTATCTGTCTATTACAGTCCTTTATCTATCTATCTATCTATCTATCTATCTATCTATCTATCTATCTATCTAAAATTCCTATTTCCTCTACCAAGGCATAAAAAACGAACAAATCATAACACCAAGTCATATTACACTAATCTAAATCAATACTAAAACACCGGGTTCTGTTCTAGAATCAAACAAGCCGACATCAAAATAAAATTTATCAAAATACACTGCAAAGCGTCTTAATGATTCGATCGATGCGAACTTTCAAGTTCATTTCTTTTTCTCATTTACCCTAAAAGCCCACAAAACACATTACCTTTAAAACGTGGAGAAGTTGGATAAACGGAGAAAAGTTCGATTTTTCCACTGACCATGATAATTTTTAGTTCCTTTTTCCAGCATATTCTTATTGTTAATTTCAGCGTACTAGGAATTATTTATCCATTGTTGTTTGCAAATACCTTTTGGTATTGTGAAAGGACGACAGGCAGATAAAAATCGAACGCTGTGATCAGCAGTTATCTGTATGAGTAACAAGTCTTTCTTTTCTTTTCTTTTCCTTCCTTCCTTTCTTCCTTCCTTCTCTTCATTTCTTTTACTTTACATCTTCCAATTTCTTTTTATTCATAATATTTCTTTCTTACGTTCATTCGTTCGTTTTATTCATATCTTTTCTTTCTTTTGTCCGTTCGTTCACTTTTCTTTTTATTAATATCTTTTCTTTCTTTCTTTCTTTCTTTCTTTCTTTCTTTCTTTCTTTCTTTCTTTCTTTCTTTCTTACTATTCATATTTTTTCTTTCTTTCTTTCGTCCGTTGCTTCACTTTTCATTTTATTCATATCTTTTCTTTCTTTCTATCTTTCTTTCTTTCTTTCTTTCGTTCTTTCTTTCTTTCTATTCATATTTTTTCTTTCTTTCTTTCGTCCGTTGCTTCACTTTTCTTTTTATTCATATCTTTTCTTTCTTTCTTTCTTTCTATTCATATCTTTTCTTTCTTTCTTTCGTCTGTTCCTTCACTTTTCTTTTTATTCATATCTTTTCTTTCTTTCTTTCTTTCTTTCTTTCTTTCTTTCTTTCTTTCTTTCTTTCTTTCTTTCTATTCATATTTTTTCTTTCTTTCTTTCGTCCGTTGCTTCACTTTTCTTTTTATTCATATCTTTTCTTTCTTTCTTTCTTTCTTTCTTTCTTTCTTTCTTTCTTTCTTTCTTTCTATTCATATTTTTTCTTTCTTTCTTTCGTCCGTTGCTTCACTTTTCTTTTTATTCATATCTTTTCTTTCTTTCTTTCTTTCTTTCTTTCTTTCTTTCTTTCTATTCATATCTTTTCTTTCTTTCTTTCGTCCGTTCCTTCACTTTTCTTTTTATTCATATCTTTTCTTTCTTTCTTTCTTTCTTTCTTTCTTTCTTTCTTTCTTTCTTTCTTTCTTTCTATTCATATCTTTTCTTTCTTTCTTTCTTTCTTTCTTTCTTTCTATTCATATCTTTCTTTCTTTCTTTCGTCCGTTGCTTCACTTTTCTTTTTATTCATATCTTTTCATTCTTTCCTTCTTTCTTTCTTTCTTTCTTTCTTTCTTTCTTTCTTTCTTTCTATTCTTTCTTTCTTTCTTTCTTTCTTTCTTTCTTTCTTTCTTTCTTTCTATTCATATCTTTTCTTTCTTTCTTTCTTTCTTTCTATTCATATCTTTTCTTTCTTTCTTTCTTTCTTTCTTTCTTTCTTTCTTTCTTTCTTTCTTTCTATTCATATCTTTCTTTCTTTCTTTCGTCCGTTGCTTCACTTTTCTTTTTATTCATATCTTTTCTTTCTTTCTTTCTTTCTTTCTTTCTTTCTTTCTTTCTTTCTTTCTTTCTTTTCTTTCTATTCATATCTTTTCTTTCTCTCTTTCTTACTTTATTTCTTTCTTACGCCCTTTTATCTTTTCTTTTTATTCATATCTTTGCATTCATTCTTTCTCTTTCTCTCTCTTTCTCTGCAACCTCTCTTTCATTTGAGTCAACCGTTTTCCGTCTCTCAAATGACTCAATGACTGTCGATTTGTCTTCGTCTTTATCTAGGACCTATTTAATCAAACACGTGGTATCTAATCTTGAAAAGTTCCCTCCCTTTCATCCCCTCCCCCAATCCATCCCTTTCTCCCACCCAGAGTTACTTTTAGCCTCTCCCCAGTGTCATTTCCTCTTCACTGTTAATACTCTTATTCTTCTTTACTCTAAAATGATTTATTTGCTGTTATTTTGTTTTTGCATTTCTTTTTTTATTTACCTCTATTCTTTCTTTTTTGTTATTGACACTGATTAAACTTATCTGAAGAACAAATAGAAGAAAGAAGATTGTATTGCGTCAGCCGTCTCAAACAGACGGCTCGCTTTGTCTTATAAATCAACGTTTGAAATTGTATCATTTTCTCGGATTCAAATACTAGTCACTGATTTCCACAAATTATAGCCTAATTTTACAAGTTTGACACAAGGCTGCAATTAGTAGCGTTGCCAGTGAACACGTCGCTATTTTTGCCACTACTTTCACACACCTAAGTTGGAAAGCACACTGAACTGACCTTGTGTCATGTTTGTTATGAACTGTCAATATAAATAGATATCGGTGTTCTACAGCGGGCGCCCTTGAGTGAAAGTGTATTTGTTTTGTTCACTTTTTCCTTTCCATTTTTCTTTTCTTCGATTTTTCTTTCAATGTCTTTTAACAATTTCATTTAATTTGCGTTTATATTTTTTCTTTTTTTCTTTGTTCCCTCTTTTATTTATCAATTCTTTTTTCCATTCTCCTCTTCTTTCATCTTTCTTTTTGACATTTATCAGTTCTTTATTTTTCTTTCTTTCTTTGTTTTATTTACCAGTTTTTTGTTTGTTCCTTTCTTTCTTTCTTCCTTCCTTTTTCTTTCTCCTTAATTTTATTCATCCATTCTTTTTCTTGTATTAATTCTTTCTTTCTTTCTTTCTTTCTTTCTTTCTTTTCATCAGTTTTTTTTCTTATATTTATTCTTCCTTTATTTCTGGCTTACGTCGTTTTTACGTTGAAACACAGGTTCTCGTAGGATCACCGAAGTTAAGCAATGCTGTGTCTGCATAGTACCTAGATCGGTAACCGCTTGAGGATATTAGGTGCTGTAAGCATGTATGTGCAGGCGGTGTAATGGATATGGGATTGGACTTTTTATTCGGAGGGCCGAGTTCTAATCCCAGGTGTTTTTTTTTTAAATATTTATTTACGTTCAAATACCATTAGGAATAGTATGAATCCACATCTTCTTAATCATTAAGACTTATATAACTAAACTAGCAGCATGGCCCGGCGTTGCCCGTGCTTGATTCAAAAATCGTACGACTCATACAGCAATCGCTATCACTTGACTTAAAATATTTTTGCCCTTCCTTGCCTTTAAAGGAGTGTCCTTTGCCGTGCTGATGTTGCTACTCTTGTTTATCTCACACTGCGAATTTTTTCTAAGCTCTATACTAAACATTAAATCTGTTACGAAAAAAGAACTAAACAAAATGAACACAAAACGATCAGCTTTTAAAAAGGACTCGTAACTGGAAAAACCGAATGAAAAAAGAATGTTAACAACTAATACTTTTTCACACCCAACCCAGTTCTGCGGAATCAGAATCAACTTTGAGTTTAAGCAAGCGAATAAACCAATTGGAGTAAAGTGCCATGCAGATTTAAATTTTTCCCACTTGTGACGAATGCAGCTATCGATTTTTTTTGCATGCTAGCTAACATTCGTGTCAGTCAGCTGTTGGCTCTCACGCTGGCCAATAGAATCTTCCTGCCTATTCGTGGCAGCCAGCTATGGCCAGTAGAAAATGGCCGCAAACTACATGAAAACTGCCGTAGAAGCATGAAAAAATCGATTATTTCCACTATCGATGGGAGTTGGGAAATGCAAAGTCGGTGTTGGCCTTCCCGCTAACTTAGAGCATGTGCATGTGAATTTTGATGCAAATCCGTCGAAAATTGCGGCCGTGTATTCGTTACACACACACTTTTTATCTTTTGCAGTAAGGCCCGGGGGTCACTCGATGTAGAGGGTTAGGTTAAGGGGTAGTTTATATGGATAGGAAGAGAAAAAATGGTTAACTCTAGACTTGAACAGGCTACGATTGTTATCAAACTGGAGGAGTCGATCCCAGCGTGCGACACCTTTGGAAAATGCTTGAAAACCATACCACAGGTTGACCCAAGCCTTTTGAGTGAAATTGGGTTAATGGAACCCTTGGGGGCTGTCGATAGCTGTGCTTGTAAGAAGTCACAAGTCATTGTGGCCGAGGGCTTGAGCGTGCTGGCCTTGTTCAAATTGTTGATCCCATAGATAACACGTTATTTCCTAGATACTGTAAATAAGGTTTGCTCGGCATAGTTGCAGTATAATACACAGGTGGGCTCTGTGGTCGTTGAATAAACACACATGCGCCCGAGAAAGTTTCTGCAATAGTGATTTGTTAGCCGCTCTACTAGACAGGTATCCTCGAATATGAGTGGCCAGCTATACATACATACAAGGAGACAATAATTTTACCTGCATCTTTAGCGATGGATCGTATATAAAAGTTCCACTTAACTATCAGTTCTTTCTATCTATCTATCTATCTATCTATCTATCTATCTATCTATCTATCTATCTATCTATCTATCTCAGTCTATTCACTATATATCTACCCTTTTTCCTTTTTCTTTCCCTCTTTCTTTCTTTCTTTCTTTCTTTCTTTCTTTCTTTCTTTCTTCGCTTTCTTTCATTCTGTCTTCCCTTTCTTCTCTTTGTTTGTTTGTTTGTTTCTTTCTTTCCCATTCTTCTTTCTTTCTTGTTTATTCCCCCCCCCACTTATTTTTTTTTTCTTCTCATTTGTATTTCTCCCCTCCATCTTTAATTTATCTTACTCGTTTTTTTTTTTTTTTTTTTTAACTTGTTCCATTTCTGCATTTGTTTCTGGTATGTTTTTTTTTCAGTTTCTTTTACAGATTCACGCCATCTTTACTACGTTCTATCGTATGCACAGACGCTAGTGATCCATTAACTGTAGACAATTTAATTTGGTTTGTACAACGTTTTTAAAATTCCAGTTCAATATGTCAGAATTAAAAGTCGTGCTGAATATTAGAGTTCATTCATTAGTTCATTTTTTATGTGAAAAACAAAAATAACATTTTTTTTTCTCGCTGTTACAAAAGACAACAGTGAAATACTGAAAGAAAATGACAGGTCGAAAAATAGAGTTACTTTGTGAGAGACATTAAAAACAACTTGAGATAATGAATATGAAAGCCATGCTCATAATTCTTGGCCAGTTTTGACACAACCACATACTCCATCGGTAATTTTGTTGCTTCCAAAAGCTGCCCCCGTAGATTAAATAAAACGTTGAGTTCAAAAATCCTTGAATGTTACCTGGATAAGAACAACAAAGATGGTAAATATTAATAATAATAATAATAATAATAATATATATATATATATATATATATATATATATATATATATATATATATATATATATATATATGAGTGGACCCAGAGGCGACAATCTGTTTCATGCTTAATGCAATCGTCATTGCCTGCTGATGAGCAAAAAACATACTGTCACATCTGAGCGTTGACTTCAGGGAACAC